TACCCTTCGAATGAATGATGACAAATTATCATTCAAATATACAAATAATGAAACTAAATAATTCAAATATTTTAACCAACAAATAAATACTACAATTTCTGACCAAACATTATCAAAACCCTAAATCATATACATATAACATTACAAAAATATTTTCCTTTCTTACACACTAAAATAAATTACATATTATTAAAAAAAATAAATAAATGGAGAACGCGACCCTGTCGAACTGCGCCAGTTCGACGGATATCCTGTCGAACAGGGGCAGTTCGACAGCCCTGCCTGTCGAACGGGGGCTGTTCGACAGGTCCTGTCGAACGGCAGCCTTCCGATCTCCTCGCCAGTCGCGCTCTGGCCGTTCGATAGGCGCCCTATCGAACTGCACCCGTTTGACAGGGACCTACTTTCGCGATTTTCCCCGGTTGACCACTACTTTTGTGATTTTCCATAAAAATAATATTAATTCTCAAAAAAATTCTGGACAGTGGCTGGCTGGCTACTGCTATCAGATCAGATGAGGAGGGATACAGTCGGAGTTCTTCTTTTCCTCTTGCTTTGTCCTTTTTTTCTGGCCGGTGACTGAGAGAGCGAGGAAGAAACGAGAGACGGAGAGAGCGAGTGCTTATCCGCCTCTTTTTCTTTTATTTTCTTTTTTTTTTCCTGTTCCCCCTCTCCTGACCGCTTTGCTTTATAAATTTTCTCTCATCTTTTCCTCCCTGCTTTGCTTTTATTTTTATTGTCTATTTATTACTTCATCTATACAAAAGAAATAGCATATTCTAATTTTCTTTATATTTTCTAAAAGTGATTATATTTTTTCATGTGCTAAATTAATTATTGATCATAACCCAAACAACAATCTTGATACTTACTACATGTTGATTATATGCATACACATAATTATTTGGTTGGCAAATAAGGCAAGTGGGATAAAACGAGAAGACGGAAGGATCGACGCGCCGCTCGCTCTCCGCTTGCTCTTTCGGGGATAAGGATCCAATCTGACGAGCCTTATTTTTTAAAACAAATGAGCACTCTGTATTTGAAAAAAGAACATCACATATGCCATATACCCGACAAATATAGAGATTTATAGGGGCGGGTTTTTAATTTTCGTTCGGTTTTAGTCTAATGGGCTTTTTTTTACAACTTTTTAATTTTTATAAGAAATATAAAAACTAAATCCTAACAAATACAATTTATTTTTATTTTTTATTTTTGTTCCCTTGTCTGCTCTTTTTTTCCCTCCGTCTAATCTTCTTTTATTTTTTTTTCATTTTTTCATGTCTACTTATTAATATTTAACCTCAAATACAATTTGTAAATAAAAACAATACTCACTTTCACAAAATTAATAAGATTATTTTTTACGATTTGTTAAACTCCACAAATTTTCTTCAGGTAACAATACACACGTATATTCTCACAATTACGAAGTGAGTATAGTTTAACTAGATAGGTTTCTTGTGGTGGAACCAGTCAACCTGGATTCAAATCTTTGATTTGACATGGTGCTCGAGGCGTTCGTAGTTACTTTGTCCATCTCAATGCTCGTGTCGTGTTTTATTAGACTTACCTACATAAAAAGTAAATAATTTCGTTTATGATACAAATTTTCATCCGTCCGTCGCGTTTTAGGCAAAGACAATTGCATTATTCGTCCATCCATTTTCTCCCATGCTACAATTCATCCAAACTAAACATCATATATACTCCACAAATATAGAGCAGATTATTTATCTAAAAACAAACATTTTTTTAGCAGATTAGTTGTCTAAACCAAACAACACTTTTTTCATAGTACACACTACGTAATCACTCGGTGCAACGCACGAGCACTTTTGCTGTATAATACATATGTACATATGTACATATGTACTTGCTTTATAGTCCTCTCTATATGTGCTAGGTTGCAGTGGCCCGATTTGTAAAAAAGTACGAGTTTGCAAGAATTTTGAAGAATAAATGAAACCTTAGAAATTTCTACATTAGCAGCAAAAGAAATCTATCTATCTATTATATTATTAAAACAGCTTTAAAAGAAGGCACCACGTTGGGGTTAGAAATTCCCACGTTAATCAGAGAAAAGAGAAAAATATTATCCATTAGATCGTGATCAGTCTAAATTTTAATGGTTCAGATTTAGATGGAGTCCATATGAGTTTTTGGAAAATAATAGTCCGTTTCACCTATGGCGCAATAGAAACAGAGACATTATCAGATTGCAATGGCAGATTACATGTTAGATATCGGATTGATGTATGGCGGCGGCAGCTAACAACTGACACGAGTAAATTTGAAACAGAATACTAGCAGGATATATGACACAGCTTGATGTGGAATTTAAAACAGAATCCTATACTGATTAATACCTAGCATAAAAAAGCAATCAACAGAATCAAAACAAAATCCTACGGTGATTACCCAACATCCTAAAGCAATCAACAGAAGTTCAGCACAACTGCCGATAACGTATTCACGTATTCAAACAACAACTGATAAAATAAATAGCGGGCACATTATGACCGGTGAATGAAATCCAATTAAAGTCAATGATATCGCCAGATTTTTACCTCTTCAAGTTTTCTTTTTTTTTATCGTCAATGTCCTCTATTTTTCACACGCTTAAAAGAAGACACGTCGTTCGTTATGAGATCTAAAAAAACTCACATTAATAGAAAAAAATAAGAAAAATAAAAGTTTAAGTAGGAATATAATTTAGAAATAAACTGAAATTCAAAGTAAAAAAGGAAAGATAATAAGCAGAGTGCAAATAGAAAACATCTTAGAAGAGATACGATTGAGGCTAGCCTATTCTTTCTTAAATTATATCGGTAAAATTCAAAGTAATTAGAGGCATCAGACAACATGCATTTTTTCGTGCATGTGGATGCTTGAGGTGACTGGAGCAATCAAATTATGAGTCGGACATGTCCGCATGCATACAACAGGGGGAGACTAATCGGCTTTGAAAGAAAACACCATGTTCGTTTGCAGGAGTTAGAAATTCTCACAATAATCGAAGAAATGGAAAAAGAATCCAACTAGGAACAAATTTTAAAGAAATCGGAATTAAAAATAAGCAATATTAAAAGAAAAGTCCATATATGTACCCAATACGAGATTAATTAAAATTCAGAATAAAAAATAAAATTAAAAAAAATAAAAGAAGAGTTTAAGTAGGAATAAAATTATAAAATAACTAAAATTCGGAATTAAAAATAAACAATATTGAAAGAAGAGTCCATATAAGAATCCAATATGAGATTAATTAAAATTTGAAACTAAAATAAATAAAATCTGAAATTAGAAAAAAAAGTCTAAGTAAGAATACAATTAAATAATAACTGAAATTCAGAATTAAAACTAAACAATATTGAAAGAAGAGTCCATATAAAAACCCAATACGAGATTAATTAAAATTCTGAATTAAAAATAAAAAAAATCTGAAATTAGAAAAAAAAGAGAGTTCAAGTAGGAATGTAATTTCGAAACAACTGAATTAGAAAATAAAAAATAAAGAATATTATAAGAATAATCAATATATAACACAATACGAGATTAATTGAAATTCAGAACAAATAAAATAAATTCTGAATACAGAAAAATAATTATAAGAGTTCAACTAGGAATATAATTTATAAAGAAAAAATATCGGAATGAAAATATGGAAATTTCAAAAAAAAAGTTCATCTGTAATACAACGATGACAAATATCAGTAAAAGAGAAAATGCAGCAGGCTTTTAAAGGAGTGAAGTGTGGCAGTTGATGGGACATGTAAAAACTATTAACAAAATCCCAAATATAATCCCAATGACAATTAAAAGGAGGGACGATGGCAGGTCGTTAAGCAGCACGGTCACGACGTTTGGCAGGACTTCTAAAAGTAAAAAAATAAACCACAATGATAATCATGTTCGATTCAAAAATCTCAATGAGAAGTGGGGAGGCAACAGGCGAACCGTAGAGTAGTCCAATGGCAAAGCCGAAATATAATTTACAAAAAAAATATCAGAACGAAAAATATGGAACTTTCAAAAGAAAATTTCATCTAGAATACAATAATGACAAATGACGATAAAGAGGGAAGATGCAGGAGGCTTTTAACAAAGGAGTATAATGGTGGCGATCGATGGGACATATAGAAACTATTAACAAAATCCTGAATATAATCCCAATAACAATTAAAAAGATGGACGATGGCAGGCCATTAAGCGACACGGTCACGGCGGTTGGCAGGACTTCTCAATGACAAGAGGGAAGGCAACGGGCGAGCCGTAGATGAATACAATGGCAAAACTGTTGACGGTTTGGCGGGACTTCTATAAAGAAAAAAATGAACCGAAACGATAATTATGTTCAATTATAATAAAGAGAGGAGACGACGGAAAGATCGTAGAGGAGTATAATGGAAGCGTTTGACGGGACTTCTAGAAATTATAAAAACGAAACCCAACATGACAATAAACTCAACAAATTACAAGGTCCAATTTGTAAAGGTTCCAAAGAAAATAAATAGAAATAGTGATAGATCGAGCAAGAAAGGGTGAGAAAGAAGCAAGGGACAACAACTGATATAACTTTTAAAAACTATAAAATTAGAAATACGGAGATAATAAGGTTTGATTTTTCAAACTTTTAAGACAATGAGATAACTGTTTAAGAAATTTTAAGTAAAATTATATTAAAAAATAGATAATTTTGTATGGCTGCTAGCCGCGCAATTGCGCGGGCCACCAAGCTAGTTAAATTAACGACTTCATGCGTCTGTAAATTTATAAATTTTCAGCCAGCTAGAATTGTATAGCTTTGTAATATGCAGTTTTAGCACATTTTGACCCTAATTCTTTTTCTTACCTATGTTTGAATACTTTTGCATGTAATTTTATATTTTTTATGAACTATAAGTTCAATTGATGTTTATGTTTAAATAACTTATTGTTCAAATTTCTATTTAGGCAAGTGATCGGAGATCACACCTGAAATCTAGACACTTTCAGATTGAAAATTGTGTATATTTGTACATCTGAACTTGACCATTTGGTGCCCACGCGCAGGCAGCTATAGACTTGGCGGGCGCGCCACGCTCAGAGATGGGCCGACCAAGTCAATAGCCAGCAGTGATCGTGGTTGGCAGCTTCAAATCGCGCGCTCACCAACCTCACAATCAAAATTTCACATCACCGTTAATTTCACACACCGGCTGATTCGATTCTTTCCCATGGCGCGCCGCGGCGGCCGGCGCGCGGACAAGGCTAGTAACTGCGGCAGCGCGCCGAGGAAGGCGAAGGCCGTCCCCGCCGCGGCGACGTCCGTGGACGACGTCCCCGACCACCTCCTCGAGGACATCCTCCTCCGCCTCGGCCCCTCCTCCGCCTGCCTCGTCCGCGCGGCGTACGCGTGCAAGCGGTGGCGCCGCGTCGTCACTGCCGCGGGCTTCCTCGACGCCTTCCGCGCGCTCCACGGCGCGCACCACCACCGCGTCGCCGGGTACTACCACACCGTCGACGCCTACTACGCGCCGGCGCTGCCCGGCGGCGAGAGCTCCGTCTTCGTCCCGTCCTCGTCATCGCTCGCCGGCGTCGACGGCCGCCTGTGGTTCTCGCTAGATTTTCTCCCGGCGAGCGACGACTTCTCCTGGGAGCTCGCCGACAGCCGCGGCGGCCTACTGCTCCTCTCCAAGAAGAGGAGGACACACACACGCAGCGGCTATGCAGCAGAAGGCGACTTCTTCTTCACTGACCTCATCGTCTGCGAGCCCCTGACGCGGCGCTACCAGGGTATCCTTTGTCCGGCCGACTTCACTGGATATCGATGCATCGGCGTCTTCTTGCTCGACGGCGGCGATGACGGCGGCGGTGACATCAGCCTGTCCAACTTCAGGGTCCTCTGCGCGCTCTACGATCTCTACTGGTTAAACAATCGGCACATTGGCGTGCAATCCGCCTGCGTGTTCTCGTCAGGCAGACATGGCGGCGGGTGGCGGCTACCGAAGAGCGCCGTCGCGGATGACATCCAGCTCACAGCAAGGTTCAACGCCATGAGCTTCGTGGGGCGCGCCGGTGGCTGCTTCTACTGGGGAATCGACGACGACGACGACGAAGACGACGGCGCCATGCTCGTCCTCGACGAGACCACCACGGAGTTCTCGCTGGTGACGTTCCCGGACATCATCCGGGAGAACTACCACATGACGACGTTCCGGATCATCGCCGGCGGCGACGGCGCCATGCGTGTTCTCCGCGTGATAGGCAACGACCTCAAGGTGTTCACGCAGCTGGCGGGTAGCGGCGTTGAGTGGGTGCTGGAGAAGCTGGTGCGGTTGCCGGAGGCGACGCGGGGATTGCCGGGGCACGAGGAGAGGTACTTCGAGCAGAACGAAGCCATGATCGTCGCGGCGGACGCGGCGTACGTGCTCCTGACGCCGTCGGTGGAGAAGACGTGGCTCTTCTCCGTCGAGCTGGAGACGATGACGGTGGAGCGCCACCATGAGAGGAACAAGTACGCGGGGGTGGCTTACCCGTACGAGTTGCCTTTGCTGCGGGCTTTGCACGCGGGCGGCAGATATCGATGAGAACAACGACTTGGCAACTTGGCGTTGGACGATGATATGGAATGACATTGTTTGGTTTGATATCAACTGTTCGTGCACGATCGATTCATCGGCTGCACTCCGTGTGGAGGTGACGTATATTTAATATTTGTACAGCTGACCTCAGGCGGAGTGACATCTTGAACGTGTCAGGACATTTGCTCACTGGCCTAGAACAAACTTGCAGCAGCTAGCGGGTCGGCTTGACCTAGCCGCCTAGGAAAATCAACTTTCAATAGCGGTTGAATGAAAGCCCAGTTGTGAAAATTGTGTATTTTCGCTGGCCTACGGTTGATGGCAGCTAGCTTAGCCACCTATAGAAACTTAAGGGTTTGTTTGGTTCCATTGCCCACCTAGCCTAGCTGGGTAAGGGCAAGCCAACTCGTTGCCAGCTTGCCAGGGGCTTGCCATGCATATACCCTTTGTTTGGTTGGTTTGCTTTCTATGGCAAGAATTAGTGGCTAGCCGTTTGGTTCTTCAGAGTATTTTGCGCCGCTTCTTTTCATATTGAGCAAAATAATATTGCACACAGATCAAATTTTGTTAACTGATGGCTTTGTCACAAGAACACTACAGATTCTTCCACAGTTAACTTGGCCACAAAAATATTACGGATAGAAGTAGTAAAAAGGGCAAAGCTATATGCTAAAAGAATTCCTTGAAACAATCAAATATGTTTTTGAACTATTTTATTTCAAGTTCAAACCAAAGCATATCAATTATTTAAATAATATCTAAACTGCACGTGTCATTCTTAAACTATTTAGCTTGAATACATAGTAATATTCAAGCATCTTAGCAAAGAAATTACATAGCAGCCGGATAGTTTTGTATTATCGATTGGACCACATATTCCTTAATAGAATCCAGTGGCCTACCCTTCAATATGGCAGCTATATTCTCATGGTCGCGAGATAAGTCTGCAGCTCAAGTCGAACCATGACAGAGTATTCCGTCATCTCATCAATTATCTTGAATAGGGATTCATTTGGATGTGTCATATGTGTGAAACGCATGGTTTCAGACATATTATCCATAGCCCCTGTTATCTCATAAACCACATTATCATCAGCTCTGACTCTTTTACCTTTATCAGTTTTTCTACCTTTTACAAGCCTAGAAGATGAGCTACTTCCAGTATTGTTCTCTTGATCTGGAAGATAATCTGAGTCATAATTTCATGAAGAGTCAACATCACCAGGACTGCCATTTTTATCACCAATAAAATCATCATCTTCAGTCATTGAATGGTCATATGGTGTTTACAGAACATTAAATTCCCCCGTTGCATGCTTGTCTTAAAAAATAAACTCCATTTCATCATACCAACGTATGGGGACGTTAATGAATTTAGCCATTTTATCTTTGGCCTACACATGACAAGAAAAATGTCAGAAACATAGACATCCATATAGTGTAAACACGATAGTTATTTGCAAGGAAAGAATAGTTAGAACACTAACATTAGTCATTCGAACAACTTCAGTCTCATCATATAGGATTTTTTTCTCAACATCATCAAAGTTGCACGGCCCGCTCAAATTCTTTGCCTCCATAATCACCTTCCACTGAGCCTTCAACTTGTGAAACATGTGATAAACTTGTCGACTTGTGAAGTTTGTGTGATACTTGCCATTAATTTGCTTTGCACATTCCTCATGATAGACTTCTTGAAATACAAGTTGTCTTCCATCAGCCAGTATCCTCTCCTTGTAGTATCGTGTCACGCCCAGAAATTTAACCCAAATTTCCAGACTATTTTGCGTATTAAATCCCTGTCCAGGACCAGCCAGGGTACACAAAACGACAAGTAATATACAGTTCCAAACGTAAATAAAGCGTAAAATACTTACGGAAGAGGCATTTAGTCCTCACACCGAAACAGAACGACAGCAGCGGAAAAGGGCGATTCTAGCGGGGCTTCAGCTCCACTCCACAGGCAAAACTCAACTGGGGTCTGAGCCTTGGTCCTCTAACTCCATCTTCAGCTTAGAAGCACTACACTTCTGAAAAGAGGGAATAAAAGCAAGACTGAGTACAACCATTGTACTCAGCAAGCCACACCAACGATGCAGATCTGCAAGGGGATACAAGGATGGTTTGTGGCTATTTGCATAAAGGCGGTTGTAAAACATTTTATTGAGCAAAACAGTAAAACTGTTGAGTAATTAAAGTAACATTAAATCTCCACTGATCAACGCTACACCACGTTGAACAGGCCCAACCAACCCACCTGAACTACAGTGTATTGGGTCGATTTATTAAGATGGGACTAATCACGGTGAATCTGGTCGACCGCCCATAACCGCGGGCTCGGCTATTCGAATAGTTTTACTCTGATCAGAGGTGTACAACTGTACCCACAAGACACAGCCCCACGACACGTTTCCGTGCGCCGACATGCCACCACGACATACCGGAAAGAGGCCGTGACAGGACCCTTCGCATAACCGCCTCTAGCCAAGCACACCACACCTCAGGTTTCACCCCCGTCCCCAGCGGGCAACGGGTAGTCCCCGCTCGTGCCTAGGTGAATCCGAAAGCGACAGAGGCCGTCGCAGGGCCCGCCCCGCTCCATCACGCCCACCCTTGCCTAGATGTGTCGACTAGAGGAAAGCTACACTACAACCGAGCCGTTGCCCACGCTGGCTTGTGGTAAGTACAATAAGTTCTTCTAGGGCATCCCACGAACCGGTCCTTAACTGCCATGGGTGCGACCAGCAAAACCATGCACCCACAGCCCACCATTCAGTCGCATTTTAGTTGGATAATTATGACCATGAAGCATGGCCAGATGTCTCGAGCACGCAGCTCATTCTGATACTAAAAGGTCTAATACGGTAATTATCCCATCAACTGAGCTAGTGGTAATTAAGTATGGCTAAGCATATAGTTCTAGCTAGGTCACATAAGTAACCTGAGCTAGTCGATTTATTACCCAATGTTGACAAAGGACATATATCAAGTAAATATGGCACAAGCGAGCAGATAGGTAAAACCCTGACCCCATGTAATTAGCAAAATATGCATATTTATTTGCAAATAGTAAAACATTTGTAAATTGGGATCAACATGCTTAAGGGGAATGTGTGACTTGCCTTGCTTCTTCACTTTGATCTTCCGAACTCTTTTCCTCGCGACCGCGGACTTCCGAAACGACGGGAACTACACGCTGGCACGCAAAACAAGGAAAAACTCTAATAAAAACCAAGGGAATAGTACATAAAAATTAAACAAACATGTAGAGATCAATTTTAGATGAATTTTGCAAATTGAATGGCCCAATTTGGAGTTCGTATGAATTAGATATGAATTTTAGAAGTTTTGAGCCATTTAAATGAATTTTAAGAATTAAACTCGATTTATTGTGCAATTATTATTTATTTTTACAAAGGAAATGGACCTCGCTGACGTCAGCAAGGGGCGGCCGGCGCCGACACGCGGGCCCCACATGTCAGCGAGTCAAAGGGGGAGGGCGCACGGTGGACATGGTCCACACGTGGCCTCGGGTGCGTGTCCACCACGTGGACGGCCCAGATCGGCCTGAGCCGATCAGGCGGCCAAGGGGAGTGGCAGCCAGGGGCACAGGCGCGGCACGAAGCCGGTCCGGCCGAGCCAAGGCGCGGCGGCGGCATGCGGCCACCGGCGGCAGCAGCCGGCGACGTGGAATGGTGGCGGGCGGCCGGAGGACAGCGGCGCGCACGGGGACGGCGACGCACCCCAAGAGGCGGCGGTCGGCAAGAAAGGGGGACGGGAAAAAAAAGGGAAGGGAGGAGAGGTCCTCACCGGAAGCGGCGGCCGGCGCGGAGGAAGATGACGGCGACGACGATTGCCTGATGGCGGCTTGCGAGGACGGAGGGCGGACGGGGTCGCTCTTGACCTTCAGAAGGAGAAGAGGGAGTTAGGGAGGGGAGGACCGATGCGGGGTGACTGGAAATGAAGGCCGATGGCGACGACAAGAGGTAGAGCTCACCGGCGAACTTAGAGGATGGGTTGGAGCGGCGGAAGACGAAGACCAAGCAGCGGACGAGGCGCGGCTGGCCTGGGCGCTGCAGCAAGAGGCGGCCGGAGGCGGCAAAAGCGACGGCGGCTCGGGTTGCGCGCGGGCACGGCATCAGGGCGGTGGTTCGGGGAAATAAAGTGGATGCCGGGATGGAGCTCGGGACAACGAGGCTAACGGTGGTGGCGGCGCAACGCGGCGGCGCGTGGCTGGAAGTCGACGGCGAGCGGCGTGGGGAGGGCGAGAGAGAGCGCGGCGGGCTCGGGTGAGGAGGGGAAACGAGAGACAATGCTCCGGGGATCGTTTTTATAGGATTGGGGAGGAGAAATCGTGGCCGGACGTGGCAGATTTGAGGCGGCAACGGCCGGCGACGTGGGCGACATCGTGGGCGAAGTGGGGGCTCGATTTGGCGCCAAAAATTGGGGAAAAGTGAGGGATTTGGTGGAGGAGGTGGTGAGGAATCGATTTTACTTGGTTTGGGCGCGAAGGCGCGAGCGGGAGGGCGCCGGATTTGGCGGGACGTGGCCGGCAATGGCGGTTGGGGTTGGCCGGCGAGAGGTAGGAGGAGGAGCTGACAGGTGGGGTCCACGGTCCCACCTGTCGGCCGGATGGAGAGAGAGGAGGGAAATCGGGGGACGTAAAGCAGACTTTCGCAAGGCGCGGGCCGGCCGAGAGAGGGAGGAAGCGCGCGGCCCACGGGAGAGGAGGGGAAGGCTTGGGCCAAGCCCAAAAGGGAGGGGAGGGGATTTTATTTGTTTTCTTTTTTTCAATTGGTTAAAATGAACTTTGTGCTTTTAAAATTATTTCTTGAGCTCCGAAAATTCACGGAAAATTCTAGAGAGTACATTAGGGCACAAAGAATATTACAGAATATTCCCGGCCAATGATTTTTAAAGGAAATTTTAATTTCCTCCATAATTCCACTTGATTAAATTGGTTTAACTTTTATTTAATTTCTAGAAAATGCATTATTAAATGATTTTTTTAATCCCGAACGAAAATCGGGGCGTTACAAATCTACCCCCCTTACAGGAATCTCGTCCCGAGATTCTGGGATGGCTAGAAAGAAAGCTGGAGCTGGCGGGCGGTTTGACTGATCTGACGGATCGGCATACTGCACTGCCCCCTTTCTGTCTCGAACTGACTGATTGACTGATTGTCCAAACTTGCACGACTGAACTGATTGATTCAACTTTTCTGTTCCTTTGCTTTGCAAGACTGGACCGACTGGTTCTACTTCAACTGACCCAGACAGGGCTGTGGATGC